GCCTTTTTCATATTTGCCTATTGAAATAGCGAAAGTAAAACCTCGCGAAATATTGCCTCGCCAAAATCGCGAAATTAAGTACTAATAAGGTAGTTAATTTTGTTAACAATGCCAATTACGCGTCCTTATTCGCTATTGACCAGAAGCAGGCAATTGATCAGAAGCAGGCAACGTCCAAGATCACACAAAAAACAGCAAGCTTCTTGCACAACCATTTCATTGCGTCATTTCTATACACCTGGAAGACACGTTTTACTTACCCTGTTGTTGTGTCCTGCTGCGGGTAATTTTCTTGTAACCCTAAAACGATGAAGCCAAGCGACAATTTGTCCATCAAAGCACAAACACCGTAGACAAAACCACTAGATTTCTGCAAAAAGAAATTTAAAAAAATGTTATACCGATAAGAAAAAAAAGTGAGGTGATGATGGTGGTGCTGTTGGCTTTGTAACGACAAGTCGGTTTTCAATTCCAGTGATCAATAAACAGACGGAAGAAACGGAGTCTACTATCTCTCCTTTATAACTGCCGGATTGAAAACATTTCTCATTAGCTGATTCACTACTTGTAAATAATACTTGTTTTTTGCTGCTTTTTGCTCGTTTAATGTGTTTTGTTTTGCTTGCTTTTTATTCCGTCTAAATATATTTCAGCAAGATTTCGCCGCTTAATTATTTATTGTATTCATAATCTTAGGTTAGGGAGAGAACTCATGGTAATAAGCCCCTACAGTTTCAATTTGAGCTTCTTCACCCGAAATAACCTCTAATTCCTCCAATTAAGTAATTTACGTCAATTTTAATCTTAATTATCATTTTTGTAATATTATATTAAATGACTGTTTATTTTTTTCTAGCAATAAATAAACTAAAACTGAAACAGACTGTTCAGAGTCCACTATTTTACTGTAAGATGTCCGGATCTAACGCTTTCTCTTACGGACGGCTATCGTGGTTTCAAGTATACCGTTTGTGCCCAGTCTGGAGATGATTGCGGTTGGGAGAAGGAGCCTCTCTCCCCCGTCCGCACTTAAACCCGACGCCCGCCCCCTTGTTAAATTTGACAAACAAAATGGTCCCCCGTAACGGAAAGCGCGTGCTTCATCTCGACCGTCTCAAGGAAAAATAGGTGACTGTGACCAATCTAAAAGGAAAGCAATAGCTCTATCCATTACGTGTGCTATCTACACTATGGGATACACCTAAGCCTTACAATGCAGTCTAATCATCGCTTGATGCTTGCCTCGGAATTTTTCTGCACTCACTCACTGCTCACTGAAGGTTATTAACCTCACATGCAACCTACCTTGTCATCACCAATCAGGTCTGCTACCATAGCCAATGACGTCACTATCATCATAGAGTTACCACAGCCCATGATGATCGTGGGCGCGTATATGACATCCCTATGGGATTGGGGCGTGAAGTAAAACCACGTTGAACAACCAATAACGATCACATTACCTACACAAAACAATACCTACAAAGAAAACGGCACAAGCGTAAATGCAGGTATTAGCGACCCTNCGCGTATATGACATCCCTATGGGATTGGGGCGTGAAGTAAAACCACGTTGAACAACCAATAACGATCACATTACCTACACAAAACAATACCTACAAAGAAAACGGCACAAGCGTAAATGCAGGTATTAGCGACCCTCAGTTAAGAGTACTTGTACGAGATTGAGTACGAGTAAGACTTTAGAATTTTAAGCCAGCCGCGTCTCCAGCACTCTTACTCCTTATAAGAGCTTTTAAGCTTTTTAGTTTTCAACCTCTTATCAGTCTATCAGCTGATAAATTTCCCAAATTCGCTGTATATTTTCTACTGCGTTGTAGATGTTGGTTTTGAGTGAAATGAGAATTTTACTTTTGCTGACTTCCCTTAGATTTTCCGAAGTTGTGAATTTCACATTTTTCTCGACAGACTTTGCTAAAATTGTCAGTACCCGTAAAATGCTCGGTTTCAAAAAGTAGTAAAGGAAAAACGGTATCAAACTGAATCTCGCGTTTTCGTAAACCGTTAAAAGAAAAAGGCTATAGTTAGCCTAGGCCTAAGGTGGCTACCCTGAACTCAGAGTGATTATTTTTTTCTTTATCTAAGAAATGGAAAAACAGACGAAGCCTAAAACAGGTTTTTAAAGAATTCGGGAGAATGCAGTGGTTAATTGTCCCTGCCTGATACATACCCTGTTTGAAAAGAATCTGTTAAGTCGTTTTATTCCTGCGCTCATAAGAATTCCACTGATGAGAATCATTAAAGGAAAATATGCAATAGCTTCCTGTAAGAAGAAAAAATGCAAGGTAAACAAATTTGAAAGCAAGGGAAAATACTAGCCTGCAAGTAGACGTCCCCTTGTACAGTCGACTCCCGATAACTCGAACCCTCGCTAACTCGAACCTCGCGCTAACTCGAACCAAAATCGATTTCCCCTGGATTTCCCACGTCATACATTCACTATAATTTTACCCTCGGTAACTCGAACCCTCGATAACTCGAATTCCCGATAACTCGAGCCTCTTTACGATTTCCCTTGAAGGTTCGAGTTATCGGGAGTCGACTGTATTTTTAAATTGTCCCTTTTCTCTGTGCAACAAAAGGAATAAAGGAAATGTCTGCACGCAGGCTAGGGACATATTTTCTCTGCTTGCGTCCAAAGCAATCAGTGCGACGTGATTCAAACGTTTCTTCCTGGATTGTTCAGACAAGCTATAAGTACCGACACTCACGTAAAAGATAGAGTCAGAAATAGTCCGAGCGATGAGACACCAAAGGTGCTTTTCAAAGTAGTAATTATATTTACTTAAAGTAGTTGTAATTGAGCTGAGCTGCACTTTTGTTGTACCATTTATACACAAGCTACCTCAAATACTATTGTGCATCTCTCCTCCATATGTAATGTTGTTTACTTTGCTTAATGTTTTTTTCGTTTCTCTTTCAGTATAGAAGGTAACTTACAGTGCTCGGTCTTCCGGGGACGCAATTCTAACCCCCACTTGATAGCACTTAACCCTTTAAGCCCCAGTATCCACAAACAAATTCTCCAAACTGATCTCCATACATTTCCTTAAGGAATTAGTTGAAAGAATTTGATGACAGATCAGGGCATTTTCTCTCAGGTGATCATTTTATTAATTCTCATAACTTATCTCTTAACAGTGCACGGATAGTGTTAGGAGAACATTGATCTTGGTCACTATTGGGACTTGAAGGGTTAAAACTTCACCCGATCTTCTTTTGCTTTCCCAATCCAAGAGGACAGTGCAAAGTACAAAAAAAAAACCGCCTGCTCGCTCGCTGGACACAAAAAAACCCTGACCTTAAGGCTACTAAAATTGAGATATATGTATTTCAAATAATGATATACCTTGTTGAAGTGAAGTGTCTCCGTCAAGTACATTGGAAAATACGACTGGTTTAGGTTTACTACATTTTGCGTCGCCATATAGACAAACACAACCTGAAATTAAAAACAAACATAGGTTTATTTAAAGAGGTTTTTTTTGTCATACCAAATGCGAAAGCATACATTCGGACATGTACTTCAAAATTGAATAAACTCATTTCTTGCTCCAATAAATGACCAAGTTAACGGAGGGCAAAAAGTAATCTTGGGTGCTTACCAGGAAATTCGATGGTTTTCGCCCAAATTCCATTCGGGGCGCTTCAGAAAATGATAGAGGGGCGTTCATAGACAGGAGACGTATAAAAGACAGAGGTGCTTATCCTCATATTCTTAAACTGTAATAAACTCCACTACAAAACTGATCTGCTTTCGGAGAAATAGGCCGTTTAGAGATCCAGATCGTTTTTTTAAAGCTCAACTTCAGTGCCAGAATCCTTAGTTTGAACTAGACATTGAACAAGCTGAAATGGGCAAAGTAGTGTTTTATCAGACAGGAAACTAAATATATTCAATGGTTTTGCTCTATTTCACTATTTCCTAGACAAGTGTTTTGAAGCAACCGCAATGTGGGGTGTCTCTTAGTCAGGGAGGCGTTTATTAGAGATCCGGGGGCGTCTAATACAAACTTAAAATCGTCAGGGGGCGTTTATTTAAGAGAGGATGACTATAAGATCATTTACGATATTTACAAATTGCAACTCGATTAGGGATGGTAGATTAACCGAAACACTTTGTGGATGTGAGAACTCTGAATCATTATTTTACCTTGTAAAAGTCTGGAGTTTTAAACCACTCTTTCCACGTTCTCTTTCGTTCGTCTTGCTGTCGGTGTTTTTCTTGCCTCTGAAGTTCAAGTTCAAGCGCTTGTTTTTCAAGGTCTTTACATTCTGGTCCATTGGGCGACGCTTTCGGCTTCAAATCTTTTTGTTTCTCTAGCTCTGAAGTGAAACAATAAGATACTACGCCAATCAGCGAATTAACGCAATTACGATTTTGACGATGTTTAGATTCGGTTATGTCTTTGTGCAATCAACAGGTTGAAGCAGTTTTGCATGCCGTCAGTGCACTCGGTATAGCTGACGGTCTCACTTACTTGCGACATGAGTTTGACAGAAGTTGCAAGATTAATCAGCGTCGCATTAACAACTCTAAGGTACGAAATAATTTTACCAGAAACGCAGGCTTCGTAATAAAAGAAGGAAACAGAAACAGAGACCGTATTTTTACAAGTATCAATATCACTGAATCAAATTGAGACAAAAGTTAGGTAGCTCTTTTCCCAAATACCTTTTGAATATACGGAACAAATACGATTCCGTGACCAATCACATAAAACTTCTTCAGAAGCACTTAGTCATAATGGTTGTTTATTTTTCTTATCTGACCAAAGGAAATTTGAGGAATTTTCTAAAATACTGTTTTTATGCTAAGCCAAGAGTAAAAAGCAATGCACGTGATGCGAAGAAGGACAAGATGCATGCGCCCGACACGTGGACTAGATTTTTGCTGAAGGCGGGTAGGGATGGGGTTCTTGGACGAATTTGAACATGATGATAAGATGATTGCATAAAGACGGAAATACCTCACTGCAAAGAGCTACGTGTATAAACACCAATGAAATGCATACCTGAAGAGTCATCTTTGTCCTCAACTCCCAGGTGAAATATGATGGAGAAAAAACTTCCCGTAAGCATCACGATTATTGATTGATACTGCATAAAGGCAATACATAATTATTGGTTAACACTACAATCACAATCCCTTCCTTTTTCTCGCGGTGGGCTTCATTTGCCGGTTTCTTTGACTGACATCAACTGAACATTTTAAATTGAGAACAAAAGAGAATGGGGTCACGCCTATTTTTTTCTCATTTAATGGTAATAGGACTGAGTGGAGTCCAACTCGGTCTTTAATCATGCGACAGATTAACAAAATCGGATGACCACATAGCGGGACGTCCGATTTGTTTAATTTTTTAAAATTAGAACTCAACGTTTTTTGAGGTACTGTCCTATAAAAATGATGAAATTAGGGCCGCTGATAGCCGATCAGATTTGATGATTTTTTCACAGTTATAATTTTAATTACAAAAATTAAAATTTTGAAACCGCCGAGGGACGGATCATTAAAAATAACCAGAAAAGCGTAAAAATTTTTCGGTGCATGATTTTTTTATATATACCGTATTATTAGTGTACGAGAGTAGTAAAACAAAACAAAACAAAAACAAAAACAACATTACCGTCCTTCCAGTACTTTAATATTGGAGTTTAAGGGGGAAGGCAGTTGTATATCACTACAGTGGAACCTCGATTTAACGAAGGACTAGCCTGTTGCAGGCGTTCAGATAGTGGAGCGCGGCGTTCGAATGACGGGGAGCGAGCTAAATCGTACGCCGGCCTGGAACAGGCTAACGAAGGACCAAGGCATTGGCCAGGTTTCGTTATATCGATGTTCCTTTCCATATATTTTACTCAAACTAGGGCAGAGAATATTGTTCGTTGTGTAGACGTTCGTTATATGAAGGTTTCACTTTAGAATCAACCGACTGGAATTCTCTCGAGTCTCCTACCGTGAATTGTTTCTTGGCGGACTCGTCCACATTTTCTTCGCTATTTTGTCCTAAAAGAATCCATGTCACCACGTACACAAAAANATTAAAAATAACCAGAAAAGCGTAAAAATTTTTCGGTGCATGATTTTTTTATATATACCGTATTATTAGTGTACGAGAGTAGTAAAACAAAACAAAACAAAAACAAAAACAACATTACCGTCCTTCCAGTACTTTAATATTGGAGTTTAAGGGGGAAGGCAGTTGTATATCACTACAGTGGAACCTCGATTTAACGAAGGACTAGCCTGTTGCAGGCGTTCAGATAGTGGAGCGCGGCGTTCGAATGACGGGGAGCGAGCTAAATCGTACGCCGGCCTGGAACAGGCTAACGAAGGACCAAGGCATTGGCCAGGTTTCGTTATATCGATGTTCCTTTCCATATATTTTACTCAAACTAGGGCAGAGAATATTGTTCGTTGTGTAGACGTTCGTTATATGAAGGTTTCACTTTAGAATCAACCGACTGGAATTCTCTCGAGTCTCCTACCGTGAATTGTTTCTTGGCGGACTCGTCCACATTTTCTTCGCTATTTTGTCCTAAAAGAATCCATGTCACCACGTACACAAAAACTCCGCTCCCCAACTTCAATGCAGATCTAAGGAAACAAAGAAAAGAAAATTAAGCATAAGTTCAGTTTAACAATACTCGTTTACAAAGTTCGTGTTTTCGACCCGCGCTCAATATTGATTCGTGTCCTCTGCTTTTGGGTGAACTGCTCGAGAAAATATAGTTAACTTATCAGAACTTAACTCGAAGTACTGAGAACGCATTCTTCTTGCCTTCCTACTAAAATTGGAAATAAGTTATGGTATTGGCATAAAGATGGCGATAAACTGTAAGGTAGTCCATGACTTTTCTAGAGGTGAGAACAATTTCCCAACGCGTTAACGACCTGCTATCTGAGCGCTATTTCCAGTTTTTTGTCTAATTATACTTTTCAAGATTCGGTCCACCAATGAATCACATCGCTTCTAAGTATTGGATCCAACATTCGGGTGAGGAAAAAAAGAGAGAAACAAAAAAGAAAAAAGGCCGTCGTTTTAGAAAAAATAGTTCAAAGAAACAGAGTCAACTTAACTGAGACAATTTTTTTATTGTTGGCTTTTTTCATTTTATTTATTTTGTTATTTTTTTCAACTCTCGACCTTTCCAGGTACGCACGTGCAGACACGCGCCGCGCGTGCATGTAGCTACTCCCATGTACTCCCCTGGCTTAGTCAAGAACTAGTAACACAAATAGAAAATGAATTAAACATCCTTTTCCTCTCATAAGGGGCCTAGAACTAAATTTCCACTTAGCAAACCTGAACTATATTTCGAAGGCTACAGTTGAAAACGACGAAAACAAATTTGTTAGGGTAACTGTCCGCAAGACTTCTTACTTTACCTAGGATTTAAGATCGGGTAAGCTTTATTATTACGCATCTGTAAAATAAATTTCCGGGCAGGAAAAGTGTCAGTGTCTTTCATGTTCCATTCCTACATGTTCAGTGATACTGCTGAGCCGGAAATGAACTTCAACTTTGAAAACCTAGAAACCTTCTCGGTATAGTGTTACGTTGCTCTGTTATTTTTTAACACGTATCTAACCAAGCCCCTTAAAAATAATGCCGGGCGATTTGAAGGCATGTGACAAGGATTACAGACAAACCCTACAGCACAAGAAACTTAAAAAGCTTCCCTTTTGCACAATAATAAAAAAACCCGGACTTGTTTTATCCAATTTCGAGTGCGGCAAACGTTTCCACCATGGTTTCCGGCAAACTTTTTCTGGGCGCACGTCAAAACACAGTCCAATAATCTTGCTCTCCAACTTGGCCTGGATTAACCTTTGATATGAAAACGATCTCAATGCTATCTACCAACACCTTGTGTGGTATTTAATCGGTGAAAAGTTTGTCTGATTTCTTTCCGTTTATGTCCCCCCACTAATCTTCGACGGATGTCCAATGATATCTTCCAAGAAAGATGATTTCCTGTAGTTTAGCGGAGCCGAACACGTATCGACTCCCTCCAAATCCAAATTTATTTTTTTGACTATGTAATCAGGTGACAGTGCGCGCAAAATGAACGTGAGAGCAACCCAACCGTGCCAAAGGGTCACCGCAACAACTATCGGTTGGCATTTCCACGGTTCGACAACACCCGGTAAAACTTCCAAATAAAAAGGAAATGTAAACGCCATCTTAACTTTACTGAAAACGTTTAAGTCATGAAGATAACCGAATCAGAATTGGATCCTCGGTTTTTACGTTTCCGATTACTCGCGCTTAGATAGATATGCACCCAAACCTGGTAGGTGAGGGAGCCACAACATACTTAAAACTGCAAACCTTCTTTCTGTCTTAGCCAGTAGAGTACCCTAGCTCCAGAGGTCCGTTCTCAAAATAAACACCCACCCAAGCCTTATCACCAAGATCAAACCGAGGTTCCATGGCGTTACGATTATAGTAAGATTTCATTCATTTTTTTTTTCTCTTCTTTAATTTACCTCTCGAGGTCGAGCTTACTCGAAGAGGTGGAGTATATGTGACGATACATGTTTTAGTCTCCTTTAATTATAGTTTAGTCTAGCGGGAAATCAATAAGAAATACTGACGATCTCGGGTTGTTTATTATCTCTTTCACTTTTGCTTTACGCGCGAAACACTTCACCTGCTTTCACCTGCTCTTTTAGTCGCCTTCTAGATTAACGGCTAGTAACGCTGGTTGACGCGGCTTCACCGTGAACCACACAGGCTATTCTGCCTTTGATTTGCACCGGTCCGCTTCCGTAGCATATGGTAAGGTAGGGAGGACAGTGATTTAGTATAGCACGCAATATTCCTACAAATTTTCGGGAGGAAACACCACCCAAAATGAACATGGTTTGGAACGTTTTCGTTGCAGCAATCATTGCGAGAAGTAGAATCAAGTCAAGATCATAGTGTTTGGAGCAACAATATTATTTCAAGAGTCTCAAGTTATTTTTAATACTACAACAGAGCCACAAGATTGGGTGACAAGGTGCAAGCAAAATGGAAAACTGTAAAAAAAAAAAAAAACTTTCAGGTGAAAGTTTAGAGGCAGTTCTCACGCGAGGTTTTTCTTCTTTCCTTTATAACTGCCTTTACAGCAAAAGATGTTTACACACAGTCTGGATATTTATTATTGTTAGAAATGTTTCGTGTCTAAACTTACATGTTGCTTCAATTTGTCTGCAATTTATAGTAGCGATATGGTTACCAGATAAGAGCATTGCATGTTTTTAAAACAGTTGGAAGTGCAAGGTTTCACTCTATCATCATCACCGTGGGAAATGACGACTATATTTCAAAATTTCCGGATATCCTGTGGAAAACCGAAAGCGTATGCAAACTACTTACAGTTGGCTTTCTTCACGAATATCTCTCGAAACAAAAATCCATCTTGCTCAAAAATCTCACAGGAAAAAAAGCGGCGACAACTTGGACTGAGACACCGTTGTCTTGCGAATGCGCCCCAGGGGTAAAGAACTCCGCAGGTTTTTAAGTCCGCGCAAAGCGGACTGCAAGTTATCAAAGAGCAGGATTTTCTCTTACGCTTACAAAAAAATGTGTAAATATTTCCAATATGCTTAACTTGCTGTCGAAAAGGAAATGTTTTATAGAATCCCTCACATCAGGCACACGGGAAGAACGAGCAGCAGGGTTACATAACAATATAATAATCCTTCCGTCAAAAAAACAAGGCGGGCACTATTTTTGTAATTTAACAAAAAATTACACGTAATTACAATAGAAGTGAAATTGAAAAGGCAAGTTCTCCACAGAAGGTTAATTAAGAATTAAGTGTTAAATCATTATAAGTTTTAGACAAAGTCTGCATAAATTTAAAGTCAAACACATTCAGGTACTGGTAGAAACGGGAGGACGAATCGAAGAACTGATTTCCGATTAGGTTACTTCTTGTAAAAAAAAGGTATTTGCCTTAACAAATTGTTGACAACGATGCGATAATCGCCATAATCCTTTCCCAAAGCACCGTTTTTACATCGTAAAAAACAAAAGCTTTCTGACAGAAGAAAAAAAAATTGTTCGCCGTTCATCTTTGGGCCCTAGAAGGGAGGAAAATGTCATAATTGCCCGCAGGGCAGGCTCTCGTCGGGTAAAGGCGACAGGTAACAACATCTTGCTCTTTTAAGTAAGCTCACACCTTTACGAAAACCACATTTTCATTCCAGTAAGATAAATTTCAACTGGCTTTAAACCCAACCAAAGAGACAGCAGATGTCGCAAAGGCTGATCAAAAATCGCAGGTGAAAACTTCCTTTGAACTATAAAAGATGTTAACGTGCAAGCGAGGAATATTTTTAAGGACTGGAATTTTCAATGATGACATCGTAAAATTTTCCGTAACCTTGATAGCATATTGATGAAGTTTCACTGTAAACAACCACATTTCTCACACTTCGGGTTCACGCGTATCGCTGATCTTCACAATCCTAAGTGTGGTGTTTGCATAATTTTCTCAACTTTCGTAGAAAGATTTCAGAATTTTCTCTCCCAAACTTTTATTTTTGCTAGCCGAAAGCGGAACTGCATGTTTATTAGCTACGCAGTTAAATCAAGCGATGTTTTGTTTTGCTGAATTATCATAAATACTGGCTTCGAGTCCAAGGTTCGTCGCCATTTGCACTTAAACAATTGATCAATTTCTTTGTCAAAGAATTTCAGCGAAGCGTGTCCTTACAATAACGGACTAGATAATTCCATCAATCTATTTTTTTCATATTACAGATCATAAGACATCTGTGCATGTCATATGACTGCATTGTTTCGCTTTCCGGCCTTGTGTCTGACGCCATACGTACAGGGAAACCCAGCTTGTCAAATAAATGATGCAATATGAATTTGACAAAAGCATTTTTTTCTCCCCAAATTTTAACCGGTTAAATTTCAAAGCAGAACTCATAGCGTATTAACTCGACCTTACACAGTACTATTTTGTTGAAATTTTTATTTCGACTTAAAATAGCATGGCTTTCCTTCGAGCGATTAACAATGACATAAGCTCATAAAAAAAAAAATTATTTTGCGGCGGCAACAAGTAGCACCGCACGAGTAGCGCCCAAAGTTTGCATCGCAAGCTTGGAAATATGCCAACCAAACGCCTTACGATAAATTTTCAAAACAATCTGGTTGTTTTTGCAAGTTCCCTAACATTCTAGTTAGGTTTTCCTACCTTATTGCACTCAACTCCACCGCATCTTTCGGTCTTTTAGCGACATGAGGGATCAATGACAAATGGCTGATTTCCACCATTGGCCAAAAAACACTGAATAGAGCGGCAAGTACACCATAGTATGCTACCGGAACCCACTCCGGACTATCTTCATTGCAAATGAGACACGGGCTAAATACGAACGGCCAAACCAACAAGATACCAACGGTTCCGATGAAATGCCATATCTTTCTATTTCCAAATTTCTTTGTTATTGTCTTTGAGATTGATTTGTCGCATCCATAGCCGATGAACGGGGTGGAAATGGCATCAGCAACTTGTGAAGAGAGAAAAATATATCCAGTACCGGTCGCGGAAATTTTGACGATTTTGTTGAAAAAGATTATAAGATATGTAAACCAAGCTTGAATGCAGAGATCGTTGAATACATGTCCCACACCGTGGCAAACCTTTTGCTTCACTGAAGTTTTTTCTTCTTTATGAACAAGCGGTTTGTTCGATTTTCCGCGACCACAAATCCAGACCATTTTGAACTACGCTGGCGTCCTTCTTAACTAAAAAATTTTGAAGCGAAGCCTAAGCGAGCTCAGCTGGAAAAGAGATCGGATGTTAGTGGAAAGGCCGGCTTGGTAGAAATGTCAAGGAAAGCCCTGCATGTGAACAGACTATATTTGGAAGCAAACGTCATTAAAGGCATTGTTCTCTTGGCACAAGAGTGACAGGTATGAGGCGCCTGCTCTATCTTAGCCAATCAAAAGCTTGGAAGGCCTTGATTACAACAAGGTTCCCCAGATCTGCGAACCGGAGATGAAAGCAATATCCCATGTTCGTTTCAGTATCAAAAGGTAAAATCAAGAAAAGATTTCTCCTCTTTCTTTATTGGATTCTAAGTATTACACGAAAGTATTCTTTGAACTCTGTTCCGTTTCCCTTGGATTCTTGTTTACGTCTTCAAATATAACAAAAAATGGAAATATTGTATTTGTTTAGTTCAATAGTAAAGTTCAATGGGTCATGGCGGTGACGAACCTACGATTTGCATATGAGAGGCAAGTGAAGATCAGTTGCCGAGGTCTTCGATCGTTGCATGAAGCAAGCCGAGAAAGCGTTTAACTCGTCAAGTGCAAGAAAGTTAAAAATATGCTTTCCATTAATTTGAATTCAAATAAATGATGAATTTTCGTATTGAAATGAAAAACAAGCGGGAATGACGCTTCTCAGTCACGTGAAGGATTTTTTAGAGATTGTTCGGGTCTTGTGAACATGAGGAAGTGGCATGATGAAGCCACAAAAATAGTACATTGCATGCAGTATTTTTACTCCGCAAACTCTCTTCAAATTGAGTTTCGCACGGCAGAAAAGCGAAATTTGAACTCAAGTCGTCATATTACCTGCGATCAGGTATGTATGCTACCTTTTTTCTCTTTGCCCGTTCGGCGACTTTCGCGCTACATACTGCTCGAGAAAAAAGTATAGCAAGAACCCCTGATCGCCTTTCACTTACGTAATAGAATGAGAGGTCCGTTTGAAACTTCCTCTCCTGCTAATCAGTCTTCGATCACCAGGTAGCATGGTGATCGAAGACTGATTAGCAGGACAGGAAGTTTCAAACGGACCTCACATTCTAGTACGTAAGTGAAACCCGGTATGAGGGTACTCCCTATAGGAGGCTCCGCCCGAAAGGGATTAGGGACCCGGGGTAGGGATTCCACTAGTTAAAAGGAGGCGTGCGTGGCCGAGCGGTTAACTACTTCTGGAGGAAATGTTGCCGGGGGGGGGGGCGGAGGGGGATAATTAAACGCGATGGGCTAGCATCTCGTCCAGGGGGGAGTAGCAATACTCCTAGGCATACTTGATGTTAAAAGGACACAGTCAGCTAATGCACATGCGCATAGATACCATTTCCGGGATAAGCTCCGGCCGGTTGGGCCTTTGGCTCGTGTACGCCTTTACCTTACCCCTAAAGTATATAAAAGGGTAGGGAAATCTGTTATTTCGGTCTTAAGACCAAAAGGGCCGGCTGCCCGACTTCCAGAGGGATTTTATGGTGGTGAAAAAGTCGAGAAAATTTTCTGGTGTCGCGATTTATTATTATTGTAAAGACCTGGCATTTACAGCTTTTAAAAGTGATTCAAAGCTCTAAAACTAGAAAAAACTAACTACCCGCCTTGTAAACTGAGCCTAAAACGCTCGGCTAGGGATAACTCGCCTACCCGGGTCAACTTTCCGCCGTTATGCGTGACCAGTAATCGTGCCAATTTGAACAGTATTATCCAATTTCTGAACTTAATTATAAACATCTGAAAAATAAAAAGTTATTTTCTGTCTACGACGATAATATTTTCCCTTTTTTCGTGAATTTAATGTGTTTTCCATAGAGAATTTCAAGATTATTTCAAATTTTGGAATGATCGATGATTTTAGTGGCATTTTTTTTTTAGGAAAATAAACTCTAAATCGCATGCCACCCAGGGACGGGTTGTTCCAAGCTGTGGGTTATTAAGATAACCCAGGGTTAGTACCAAATTTGTTTTCAGATATGAAAGCTTAAAAAGCAAATTCAGTTTAATTCTTCTTGTCTCCAATCTGATGATTAGATGCTCTATAAAGAATAGAATCGTTCGAGAAAGTGCTTTAAAAAAATAAAAGATAGAAAGAAACACGGAATAAAATTAATTTAACCCCACTGAGCGCTAATCGGTCTAAGAGGCCGTCGCGCAAACAACTGGCCGCAGGAGTCCATATGGGGTACTGTGCCACCATAATACGGGCGTTTAGATGTTAACTTGTACGCGATATTGTTATGCCATCTATACTACTTACTCGTTTTCTCAAGGCATTATCCAAGCATTTTTGTAGCCATTTCTGTTTGTGGGGGTGGGGGGGGGGGGTGGGGGGGTGCGAATGCAGGGGTTGGAGCACATGGAGAAGTTTTTGAGGGGGCATAAAAGGCGGGGACCAAAACAAAAAAGTCAGGGGAGGGGGGTGGTGTTTTTTACTTTGTCCCCACAGTTATCCCTTTCACTAGCTGCAATTAGGTGTTCACGTAAACTGGCACTCATATAGATAAAGTCTGTTTTTTGTCTTGTTGCTTGTTGTCGCGGTGGTGTGTTCTGTGTTCGTGGGTGGTGCGTGTGGGGTGGTTGGGTGTGGGGGTGGTGGTGGGGGGGGGGTGGGGGGTGGGGGGGGGGGGGGGGGGGGGGGGGGGGGGGGGGGAGCTGATGAGGGGGGTGGAGCACAAGGTGGAGCATTTTAGTGGGGAAACAAGCAGGGTGCATTAGAAAAGTGATGCGGGGTGGGGTGGGGGAGTTTTTACTTTGCCTGTGCAGTTTAACCTCTCCACAACGGCCTCCTTGGGGACAGAAGAAAGTGGCCGTTGTAGAGAGGTGGCTGTGAGTCAACCTTCGACTGAAATTTTTTTTGTGCCTTTTTTTCTTAGCTTGTACGTACTTTTTCCTCCATCCACGTCCCGGCTTTATACATTTTCTCCGCCCACCAGAATTCTTGAATTGAGTTCTTTGTTGTTGTATGTTTTTCCACCAGGACAACTCCCCCGCTGCTACACTTTTCTGACAGTCTGTCCCAAATATTTTTTCGTAGAATTTCAGGACTGAGCAGAAACCCTTTAGGGCGTTACCCTAAGTTTTTCAGTGTCTGCAAAGTAATGTGTTTCGGCTGTCCCAGATAACTGTCCGAACTACTGAAGTTTAATATCCACTCAGAAGGATCACATGAAAAAAATCCGTTCACTGTGAAATTTCTCGCATAGACACAATCGGGAGAAGAAAACGTTTGTTGGCGCACAGGAGAAACTTGAATGGGCTCGTGGTGACACGGGTGTACTAAAGTTAGTAATATTCTTACACCGTCATGGGCTCCTGACACCGTACAAAATCTACATAATGTTTTGCGATAGATTTATATAATCACATGTTAACTCTGTGAAAATCAATAGTAAATGCAGCTTCAGTTTATTTTCATTCTGAGTGAGTTTTTAAAGTTTGGACAATCTAATCGATCCCCAAGGGGTACCTTAGGCAACTACATTCTTTTGTAGAAAAGAAAGTAGTGTACTTGTCACCCCCTGCGTGTACATTTCATAGAATAGTCAAGTCATAGACACTGACCGCAATCACGTAACGCCGTGGAGCAAACATTTGTAAACAGTTATGGAAAACGTTAGGCCGAAAACTGCAGGTCACGTGCATAGCGCGAAAGCGGGAGTTCCTGGAATCCTGACGAACAGGGAAAAGTCCGACAAGACAGTGAATATAGTGCTTTCACCGATTTAGTTTAGTTATACTGAAGGAAATCATTGATAATGGTCGCCATTAGCAGCACAATAATACACTTATAGCAACATGTCTTGGCAAGAAAAAAGCTTTAAGTTCCTAATCACGTGCGCATCATCACGTGCAGCTTCTTTTAGTTCTTTCTCAGATCGAGCACGCAGTCTCACGCAGATCTGTTAGCCGCGGAAAAACGTGCATCTTAACATCTTTTTATCAGGTAGCATCGTCCCTCGAAAATCCTAGAGTTAAAGGAGAGCAGACCTTGAAGGGGAAAAGATTTTGTTAAACACAAGGACAGGTGTACTTTCTTGTGAAAAGATCCGAACAACTAACTTACGATTTGCACTCTTATTAGTATCAGTTAAAACACTAGAGAGCGATTTATCGGGTTGCAGGACGGGTAAACAAAGCTACCCAGCTTTTGAACCACCGGAATTGGGTCAAAAGTTGAAATCTCTCGGGGTCAGGGTTGTCCTGGTGGTTAGCGGGGAATCGGTAGCAACTGGACCACGTAATCGAAATAAACTTTCTGGCAAAACTAACTTAATTCGATATAACATTCAATTGACATTGTGTCCCATCTTCGGTCACCTCTCAGCCCACCAGCAGGCAAAATTTTTGTTTTAGTCTGAAAAGAAAGCCAGGCATCCAAAACCGTCCTGTAACCAAGTAACCCGTCCCGGCCGACCAAGCTGAGGTGGCATGCGGGGGGAACTGGGAAGAATGGTTGTAAGCACACAGTGTCGGTGTCGTAAATCCTAGCATTTAATGACTCAAAACAACATATTCCCTTAACTCTTGCACTAAACACATAAGCAGTTTTAATCTTGACTATTGTATGCTTTTAAACAATTATTTAATAGCTTTTTAACGAAGTCTGTAGCTTCACAAAATGTAATGAAGTATGCCTTTCGCATCAACATGTGCTTTCCGCACAATATAAATACGCAACTTATTAAAACGCAAACCCATGATAACCAAGCTAAATTTGTGATAATCTCACTTAAATATCCCACAGATAAATAAAGGAATTTAAGGAGATATCAGAGCCAGTGGATTAGTATAAGAATGGATGGGTCCAAGTACACCCGGCTCTGTGGAAATGATCTATCACAAATGCGGCCACCATGAACAGTCCCAGTGCTAGACGCAATTTTAATTCCAGGATAATCATATTCAAAAATTAACTAATGTTTTTCAGCAATTGCGATTACGCCGTGGAGGTCTTGATGGCATCTCAGGAGTTCGTTTTCTAGTCTTGCCAGGTAAATCTTATTTTTTGTTTCACCAAGCCTCTTCTCTGTCTCAAGCTACAAAATAAATAAATAAATAAAACTACATATTTCACCATTTCTTGTCGCTCGTTTGTGTTCAGTCAGTCGCGTGCTAAGGTTCTACCGGTTTTCGCCAATGTAAGTGGCCTTGCAGTCGCAGCATTTGATCTTGTATACTGCTCCTAGTCTGGCCACTTACATTAGTGAAACCAGCAGAGACCTTAGACAGTCAACAACAGTCCTATTCAGGACACCAGAACGACCATGCTCAACCCATTTATATAAACACATTGCTACGATTCTCAAAGAAGAAGCGTGGTTGACATTTAGAGTCATTACAAACCTCTTTCTTTAGTTGCTGATCAAAAGCAGCTTCGAGTTTCTCTCTCTCATATAGAATCTCTTGTTCAGCTTTTCTGTAGAAAGAGAAAACAAAACGGTATAGCCCATTTAACTAATTTATGTTTGTCTTTGTGATTAGTTTTCGAACCGTAAAACGTTACTACAGTAAAAACGTTGGATTAAAACAGCTACTCGTATGAAGGTAGACTAAGGGTGCTTTCCAAAAGTCAGAGCTGGCCGGCCGGACCATAGCCGGACCGGTCATTTTGACACTAAAATAGGCTTTTACCAAGAGTTTTTGGTTAAAAAACCCCTGTCCTTCGTGCATTCTATGAAGGATTTGACTAATCTGGCTAGATAGCTTTGATTACAAGTGAAATTCTCATTACAACGGGAATGATCTGGCCGGTCAGTTCTCACAAATGGAAAGCACCCTAAGAGTCATGGAAAACGGGACAACAGGAGTTGCCTTCTTTACACTTGCTGCTGGGTTTATAATTTGTAATTTTTACAAACGACTTATCAAAAACGAGTTTATTTCTTCGACCTCTTGACAAGTTCTCTTTTTCTTACTATCTAATTCAAATTCCGCTAAAAAGATTGGACATTAATAACAACTTGGCTCTTATGAACTTTACGGAATAAGTGCACAACTGAAAGAGGAACAATATTTAGGCTTGACATTGGGCGATTTCTACAGTATGTTAGAGTAGAAGACAAAACGAAACAAAACATCAATGGACAGTTTAAAAAGTGTCTATCACACCTAGCAATGATAATTTCTTTCTCCTTCTGAAGCTGCACTTCTTTATTGTGAATCTCGGCCCTCAAGGAGTCCCTAGAAAACACAGACAAAAACAAACTTAGCATGCACACACATGTAACAATTACCGACAGATGTAAAGGTGATGTGGCACGGGACGATTCGCAACGACGATTTTTAGTGTAACACAGCGTTGCAATGTTGGAACAATGTCGCAACAATGCTGCAGATTTTTGCTGAGCTAAAAACCGTTGTTGCGAATCGTCTCTGTAACATTACCTTTAGTTATCAGTGATGAAGTAAGGTGAGTTCTGACTTCTTTTTATCAACTCAGAGGTTTCACTTTCGGGCTGACTGAGTCTAACGCCAAGGATTGCGAATGTTTAAGCTATCATCCACAAATTCTTAACTCAAATACTGGTTGTTTCAAAAAAGACCTTAAAAAAGCTCAGACTTTTAGACATAGAGTCCAATCTTTACCATACTAGTTGAGGCTAGAAAACAAGGAGTTTGTCTCAAACAGCTCCTTGGATGCACCAGTAAAAGCAGGCGTGAAAACAATATAATGATTCAAGAGGTAATTCGAGTTTACCCAACCACGACGACGATGGCAACAAGAACGTCAAAAAACAATTTATATAAAACGTGAAAAAATAAATAAATTTGGGTGCTTACGCAACGACGACGGCGACACAAAACGCGAAGTAAGGCACCTTCACGCCGTAGTCGTGCAACGACGGCTAAGAAACGTCCAAAAAAGCGCGATGCAAGTGCAAGAGTTGTTGTTCTGCCAATCATGATCTAAACCTATTGCATTTTTGCTGTTGTCATTGCTGTCGCCGTCGTCGTTGCTTAAGCTTCCTATAAACAAAAGGAAGGGGGCAATCACCTTTTCTCTTTAGCAATATCAGAGGAAATCCCTCCTGAGTTATTCCAGTCTATACATTGCCTCAGGCTTTCATTTTCTTTGACAATTCGTTTTAATTCTGCTTTTTCCTCCTTGAGATGTATCTCACTCTGGGTCATCTTTGAAGGCGGCGTGTTAGTCCCCGGACTCTCAAAATCTCCAGCAACTTTGGGTAAAATGGAGCCTGGAGGTGAGTTGGCAGTATCTGACATTGGGGAAATTGCTTTAAATTTTTCGGCACTTGGACTTTTTTCTTGATATTGTCTTGGAGCCACCAGTGTTTGTCCTGCTGACTCCACATGGGCTTTGGTATTGTATGGTGTGGTTGGCTGCTTTTCTTGTCTACCACTGTCTTTTGGTGAATCACTTGCCGCATTTTGCTCCTTCTTACAGCCGTCTACGTCAAATTCACTTTTGACTTCAATCAAATTAGGGTCTACGCTTGCAAGTTTGGACATCTCAGAAACGCTCTTCTCTGGTTCCGCAGCAGCCTTAACATTGGCTGTAACAGGATTTCGAAACCTTGGAGCAAAGTTTGATCCTCTGCCAACAGGAACCTGATGTCTTTGCCCTTGTCGTGACACTGGATTCGTTACTCCAAAGCCAAACCTGGGCCTTACTTGACGCTCTTCTCCTTGGAAGGGTGATCCAAATGGCATCCTTGAAGCTGCAAACTGTTGCTGCAAAAAAGGATTCGGATTCCACCCTTGCAAGTTCCCTGGGTTAAATGTACCAGGAGTGAAAAATGGGTGCCTTGGAAACCCAGGCTGATGCCATCCAGATGCCATCAAGTTTGCCAACTGTATGACCTGAAGTTGTTGGCTCTGCCCTAGCAATTTAGCCAGAGGTGGAAAACCAAATAGTGAATCCTGGGCAAAGGGTTGGTTGACGTGTTGTTTAGGAACGTAGCTCTGTTGTGGCTCAGGTTTGTCAGGGGAATACTGTTCGTGTCTTGTTTGCCCTTTGTTACGTACGTCGTCGTTTTTAGCAGAAGGTTTACCTGATAATGATAGGCAAACAAAGGGTTTCTTTTTTTCATTAACAACTTGCCCTTTCTCTTGATTTGGACGATGACTAGGCACAGGAGCTTGCTGAGGCTGAGGAACCACTGCTACATTGGTACTCATTGGACCAACAGGGCATCTCGTGTGTCCCTGCTGGGCAGAGGGTTTATTTACGTCGTTAACAACTCGTACTTGCTCCTGACTTGGATGATGACTAGGCAAAGAAGCACGTTGTGACTGAGTGACAGCTGAGGAATATTGCATCCCTCTCTGAATCTCTTTGGAAACACTAGTGTTTTCATGACCCTGGACAACTCTCAGTTGTTCCTGTTGGGCAAACGGTGTATTTCCATTATTAACAACTTGCGCTTTATTCTGAGTTAGGAGATGACTAGGCACACCTGCTTGCTGTTGCTCAGTCATTGCTGAGAAAACGTATGTCCTTCTGGAACCTTCCCTGTCAACACCAGTGTTCCCAGTCGGTGGACCCTTTTGAGTAATGGGTTTAATTGCTTCACTAACAACTTGCACTTTTTCCTGATTTAGGTGATGCCTAGGCACAGAGGCTTGTTGTGGCTGGATGACTGCTGAGGAATACTGTGTCCTCCTTTGACCTTCCTTACCAGCAGAAGCATTCTCAGGGCAAAAAGGGGCACGTGGTAAACCATGTTGGACAACGGGTGGCCCTCTTATCTGCTCTGGACTGGGGTGTTGAGTTGGTACCAATGGCGGTTTAGGGCCAACGATTTCTGATGAATTTGATGCTAGTTCTTGGTTTACTACGTCTAAATTAGTGACCACAGAATAAGGAGGGCCGGTCAGTATTCCCTGGTGAACAGGGGATGAATTAGCGTGTCTGCCTTTAGTCACTGGATCATCAAGACTGCCTTGTTGTGATTGCCTCTCCTGAGAGGTTACTGGTGAAAATTGTGCTTGTTTCTGTCCTCTAAAAAAACCGCTATTCACAGCAGCTTTAGGTTGCTGATGTGCATGGTGATTGCCAAGTTGACTAGTTATACCGCTTGGCTTGGTACTACAATCTCTAGCGGAGTCAAAGTAACACAAGCCCATGTCACTGTAATGATTTCTGCTGGGTGGACCATGGCATCTGCTATCAGGGTTATTTGTATATCCAGCACAAGTTTCCAGCCCATACTGACTATTATCCGTGCCTTGTTCAGCCAGTGAGGGACAGCCATCTCGTTTTTTGGAGATTTCCTCTTCTTCACGATAAATTGTACCAGGGGATAATGACAATTGCCGAGAGGGTGAAGAACTTGTGCTTTCTGACTGACTTGACTCGGAGGCATGTCCATGAGAGAGGCTCCCACTGTGACGAAACTGACAGTGCTGCCCGATAGGTCTTTCTGGTGAAGTTGAACCAACACTGACAGAGTCGCTCAGTGAGCTGTTACATGCATCCTTTGGTGGAGAACCCGGGAAACCAGAGGTTGAGGAATCATTATCTGGGCCCAATCCAATGCTTCTGGCAAGGTCAGGAGGAGAAAAAGGCTTAGAACTTGCTTCTGGAGAGCGTTCATGTCTTTGTGGAGTTTCTAAAAGCTCTTTCTTGTTAACTACATCTATTGCATCTGAGCCAGTCACTTGAGGTTGAATCCTGCCAACCCCTCTGTACTGCTCTTGGCAATTGTCTGTGAGATTGGATTGTGCTTTTTGTTCAGGCCCAGAATTTCTAGAAAAGTAAACAAGAACAGTCGTCATACTGACATTAGATTCGTTTACTTTCCTTCATTGGCAGAGCTGTAATTAAGGGCCATAACCCGTTATACCTGTTACGGCTGAGCTCACCTGATATTAAGGGTGATCACAGTGGAAAGCAAAAGGTGGCACTATAAATTTTTGTGAGATGTTACGGGTGAATCTTCATTTGCTACGGCTCCTTCAAAACTTAATGACAGCCCTGATCGGCACATCCTTTTGCAAGCTTGTTAGCCTGTCACCCTGTCCGCAGCAAATCAACCTAGCTGTCAGCTTGTCATCATGTCAGTCTATCAAAAAGTCAGTACGTCAGCCTGACATTAATTTGTCTTCTGCATGCACATGGCGCTATTAGGCCAAATTCGATTTTGCATTTTTATGGACTTGAACAGAGTTGCCGAGTTCATTTTGTGGCCAAGAAAAAACCTTTTTCTTGCCTTTCTAGACCTTGAGCCGGAAATCCTTAGCAAGCCCGTCTTTCCCACTCAGGGAACCAATCAGAACACATAGGATTCCTTCTTTCTTACCCACTTGGAGCGACAACCATTTAATAAGCACAGGGTGTTACCAGTCGAGGGAGGGGGGAACAAATCAAGAAAACTTTAAAAGAGAACCAACATTACTTATCATTACAGCGGTAGCTCTCCTAGCAGACACTCTCGAAAGCGGACAGCTCTACTTACGTTCGCCTTCACAAAACCGAGTTTTTCTCAACTCCCACAAAAACTCTATATTTTTACATCCCCGGAAGCGGGCAGCGTTAGTAACAGACACCTTTTTCGTGTTCTGAGGATGTCCGCTCATGAGAGCTTCCACTGTAATAAAATGATGAAGAGATGTACAAAACGAAACTCCTGGAAAATGTAATACCAAATGTTTAATAGACAGTACTAGAAAAGCAAGAAGAAACTAGAATAAACATCTCATTACCCATTTAACTCTCTGAGAATCCAAGGTGAGCATGGAGATCCCTCTGAACCAGATGGCAGTGTCTGTGTGTCTGCAGAAAGACTGGCTACTTTCCTGACTACTTCCTGAATTTTATTCATAAACTCTTCTTTGTTTTCTAGGAAAAAAACTTGAGAATTAGATAAAATACAATGAAAAAAAAAACCTTCACAAAGAAGTTACGGATGACACTTACTGAGGCAAACTCGTTCTTAGCTAAAGTTTAAAAGGCAAAGAAACAGTCTTAGGGAAGGGACTGCAACGAAACTTTTTCCCATCATACAATACTGATCACAATCTAAGGGTCACAATACAATACAACATATGATACATTCCAGTGCGTGACTAGACTAGTTACCAACATGATTCGTTAGGAAGCTGTGCTGACAAATTAAGTGTTTTTGCATGTGAGGGGTGCAGCTGACAAGGTGCAAATACATGCATGGATTTGTGCACCATGAAAAATATGCAAAGCAGGGCTGGTTACTACAAAAGCTAAAATGCAGGGCATGAGCAAGGAATAATTTAAGGCACTGATTTCACAATTTTTTCGATGTAGCATATTTCCCTTGCATCATACAGGGCTGTCATTAAGAGCCCAAGGCCAGGGATTTCCCCTGCCTAAACTATGAACATGGTCCCCTGCTACTTTCATGGGAAAATAAAAAAAGAGAAAAATAAAACTAAAAGAAATCCCCAGCTCTTTGATTCCCCTCCTACTTGTTGTACTTTAACCCACCAACTTGAAATCTTAGTGACATCCTTCATCATAACATGGGTGTGATAACTTGCTGAAATATCCATATTTGTATCTCAGGAAAAATGTGGCAGGTCATGGATACATTGGTGTACTGTTGCAGCTCTACTTGTGGAGTTCTTGAGGAATATAAATTTAAATTATTAAAGCGCTCTAGTTTCTGTTGATAACTTTTAGAAGAAAACAATTACACAACATCAAACCATAACTTAGGCTACTCGGCTCTATCAGGAGGAGTACTTGCCAAAGTTGACCAATACAACAGTAAAAAGATTACTGGAAAAGTTTAAACTAAAGATGCATGCACTGTTTGAATTTCCTTGTACCTTGTCCACTTATAGTTGTAGAGGATTTCAGTCTTGTTGCAGAGCAACGTAGCTTCCAAAGGATCATTTTCTCCTGGGACTCCTCAGTAGACATGGGCCGATATAAATGCTCAACCCTTGGATAATCATTCCTCAAAAGTTTGTCCTTCTCTGTAGAAAGAGCAACACATGCAGTCAGGTTAACAACAGAGTTAAGTGACTATTGCTTGGTAAAATTCATAGCTCATCCTCAAACCAGTTAGCAATTTCATGTTACAGCTGTACAAATCAATAGAAACAATGAAACTCAGACGCGTCAAATCGAGACATTTTTTTTGTGCCATGTCAACCATTTAACAGAACGTGGTTATACGCATATCTTAAGAATGAACAAATTAATTTGTTGTTGTTTTTCTATGTAACATCAAATTCAAAGCTGCAGCTAGTTAGTTAAAATTTAATTATAGTGTGCGCTTAAGGCTCAAAGCAGTAAGTATCATCTTCAAGGAAAGAGTTATTTTCACCCTTTTCAAAGGTCTTAATTTCGATACCATGAGAGAGTTTTAAAAAGTCTTTAAAGAGGAGATAAAAACGGTTTTACAACTTATATTGAGACGAAAACTTCATCAGTGAAAATATTTTGAACAGAACTACTGAAGCATTTGCAAAGAATGAATTGCACAGGAGCAGTAGCATAGGAGACAACACTCACGTCATTCACTCACAGTCTAGCCAATCATAAAAAGTAAATTTTTTTACTTGACCAGATCTGGCTTTCAGCTTTGTAAACAAGAGATCTGGGTACGAGATTATCAAAGCATGTCAGTTGGTTGCTATATGTTATGCCAACAGGTCACGCAAAAACACAGAAAAGAACACTACCTACATTCTTTTCAGGACTATGGTTTTTATGCTTACAAACCAACATATTACATTATTTCACAACCATTCATACACTTATGAGAAAAATTCAGGGAGGCCCAAAGCTACAAGAACTCATGGAATACAGGGTACCCAGCATTTAAGAGTCTGAGCTAGTGAGTGGAACAACTACGAATGGTTGGCCACGCTCAGAAAATTGCCAATACTGATTACCAGGAAAAACCCTATTAGGTAACTATGTTTGAAAAAAATATTTTAACTTTCTAAAAATTTACAGTTCTCAAGATAACAAGGAAAAAGAAAAAAGCGGTCTTTACCGATTTGAATGTGCAAAAATCACAGCAAAACAACATGAAATAAAAAAAAACTAGGTAGTCCTTATTTGCATTTACTAAGTAAATGGTTTACTGCTCTGGTCAAGCTATTAAAATAACATCTCTGCATAGAGAGGATAAGCATCGTGTTTACGTCAAATGGCAAACACGAATTTGTACCACATAACCAAGTTTCCCTTTTGCCTGTCGCCCATTGTTCATTATTTCTACACACAAATTAGCTCCATAACAATTTTCTGGGCTGTTTATAACTTTGAGAAATTCTTGACTTGAAACTGACGTTTGCTGTTTGCCATATATGTGAAGCTTAAACTCTTTAATATTAAAGGAGCATAGCCACACTGGCTGAAAATTTGGACAAATTCTCTTTCAAGACCAAAAAAATTTTACTCACAATGTATGGCTCAATAAGGTTTTGCCATCCAGCAATTTTGCAGATTTTTATGGTTTTTACAGATAGGAAAGAGTAGCCAGTGTACAAATGTCCCCCTCCCTAAGGAAAAATCAGGAGAGGAGACGTCTGTGAATCGCTGATGATAATCGTGTTCCCGTTTCCCTGGAATTTTGGGGACAGCCTCTGATTGGTTGTAATGTTAATGCCATGATGCAAATAATTTACGGTGTTGTGATTGGTGAACGAATCTCAGAATAGATTCCCCAGGGAAAAGCTCAGTCTTTGTGGACATTCATATTTGTTTACCGGTATTTGTATTTCGGCTGTCTGGAATAGGCATGAGAAGTTACCGATGTTTACTGCACCACTTGCGGGTGCACCTGTCTGTACCGGTCAGTATTGTAAATAAAAGAGAAGGACATACAAAATCCAACGTTTACAGCCAAGGCAGGTAAATTTTACCCCAAAAGATTCTATTAATGAATTGATTATTTGAAAAAATAAATCTGTTAGTCGTTCCCGTAACTGGTGTCAAATTTGAAACGGCATTCCTTCATGCGTGATGAGCAGTGAATATTTTAGGAGAACTTCTCTGCATTTGGTCAGATTTAAATCTTTGAATGGATTAAATGTCTTAGAAGACATTTACATCAAATTCGAGGAAACTGAGCAGGTAGAAATTTCGTAACTGAATTGCGTGTGAATTCACGGCTCATTACGCATGCAAGAAGGCACATAGAGACAAATCTGAAATCTACAACTACCAACGTATTCAACTTTCAAATAATAAATACATTAATGGGATCCTGGGAGGTACGCTTGACCTGGCTTGACTCTAATCTGAGATCTTATATCTGGAGTTTTGGGTGGACATTTTGTGATGATGTTCCGCTTGCCTGTGTAAAGAGCTATTTTTCGACCTACATATGCCAGTCATGATTCATACAATTAGCCAAAAGTAAGGCTATTGTAATTTCTTGTTGAAGAGATGTGAACGATCCTTTACGTGAAACCTACTCGAAATCATCGAATGGATCAACTACCGCAAAAAACGTTTGACTTCAAACGTAAACAGTGCTTCCAAGAACAAAATTCTTTCAAACCAAAAACTACAGGAAATCGACACACAGTAACAGACCGACTTCATGTGCTAAAAAAGACCAAAGAATGTGTTAGAATCTTCCAAAGCATAAAATACTCATTGTGAATGACATTTTAGTTAGATATTCTAGTTAGAGCCTAGCTTAGCTACAAAGGTTGAGAATATCCGTGAAAATAACTGCGTACGTGCTCTAAAAGAGTAAGTGTCATGTTGGTCTGTCAACACCTTTTCAACTGTCAGAGAAAAAACAAAAAAAATAATTTGCACAAATGTATACCGGAACACAATTAACTGCAGCGATTCACAGACATCTCCTCTCTCGATTTTTCCTGAGGGAAGTTGGGCGTCTGTACACAGGTTAGGAAAGAGCTGCAAATTACAAAAATTGCTCAAGTCAACCAGTTCTTTCAATTTCTTAGCTTTATCTGTTTAGATGGTGATGCCCTCTACGTGTAAACTTGTAAGTCAACGAGTGAAAATGAAACAACAATGTCAGCAAAGTTTTGCTTTTTTAAATCAACAATATCCACCTGGCACTGGAACATGGATTGGTATATTTTTCCCAGATGAATACAGCCAAAACATCAGAGTTTCCTTTATAGATTTAACCTCTGAAGATCTAAGACCAGCGGACTCTCACTTCTACTTTAACCCCCTCCTTGCAAGATATCAACAACCAACCCCTCCCCCCTGATAAACACAAATCGACCAAATCCTTAAATTGTAACACAGGTGAGGGTAATTAAGTCTTACATAAGGTACAGACCATCAAAAGTCACTTTAAAGAAAATATAATAACTATTTTAACAATAACAAATACATGCAAAAAATTTAATGCCCCAGAAAATGAACTATGAATCTGAAAATGATTTGAATTTTTGGGGGGAATGGGTTAAATTCCAAACTAAAGCACAGAAAAACCCAAAAGTAGATCTTATCCAGGAGATTTGGTGACCCATAAGAGAGACCAGGAGGTTGGTTCCGTATCCAGGAGCCGGGTAAACTAGGAGGGTTGGCATTGAAGATCTCAGTGCAAGAATGACACCTTGATTTTTTGGTCATTTTTTGAAAGTGCTTCAAAAGTACTGATTTTTTGCATGTCACTTTAGTTTTACTAGACAAACATGTCTCTGAACTTCTATTTTTTACTTATTTTTAAAGAAATAACATATCATTTATTCATAAGCTGAGAGGGCACAGCCCTGATAGTTGGTGGTTCATGTGTAATTACACACAATTAATGTCCTACAGGTGTACTCACTGTCTTGAGGCAAATCACTTGGATCTTCTCCTTGTAATCTGTCTTTGGTCTCACAGGCATATTCCACAGTTATAGTCCGGTTACCAAGGAGACGGCCATGGAGCAAGGAAACTGCATCATGGCATTCTTCAAGGGTACAAAATCTTATAAATCTGAAGGAAATAATATACAACTTTTATAACCATTGCTCATCAAAGTGGAGTGGAATTGGTGTAAGCAGTCTAGTTATACTAGGTTGTACCATTGCACAAACTGACCAAATGCAAAGTCACACTAAAGCAAAGCTATAAAATTAATAAAATTGCAAAAACATTTTTTGTTTTTTACTTATGGCGATTCTAAAGACTAGACTAAAAACTCCAAAAGCTAACAAAAAGTGCCTTTAGCTAGGACATGAACAGTTGCAAAAGTGGATTAACTTTTTAAGTACTTCATAATATATTAGGAACGTTCCATTTTTAATCCCCCACCCCCCACCCCTAAAGATAACTGGAATCCAAAGTCTCAAATTTTTGTCAGTGTACTTTCAAAAGTAAAATCTGAAGGGTTCGTTCCTTTCTCAGCACCTTTGAAAAATTTGTCCTAAGGGACAAAATCTTGTCAACTTCTTTGAAAAAAATCCAATAGATCGTTTTCACTGTCACGCAACAAAAAAATAAATTGGAAACCGTCCAGTGGAAGAAGCCAAGAAAATGAAATGTTATAAAAGACTATTATATAAACAATTTGTCCAAGTCTAAGGTCTTTGTGGCCCACAGTTTCTGAATTATTTGCCGAAACGTTTCACGCACCTTTGGAGAACTTTGTATGGAGACGCCATAATGGTGCACCATTTTGGTGCACCAATATGGCCGCCGGAAATCAACAAAAAAATCTGGAGTTCCTTTTTTCTATAAAAGCTCTTTATTTTCACTTGAGAACTAGCATACGTGCACATAAATATACCTTCTAATACTTGAAATGGTTATACTGCTGAAAATCAAGAGGACAGACTGTTTTTTTCAATGAGACATTATTCCTATTTCAATGTCATGCACTGTGAAAACTCGGAAGTTCAAATTGCTGTATTTTTGAAATGAAACATGCTACAGGACTGGAAAGTTACAGTACAAAGATTTATTTTTTGTTTATCTTCAACCTAGTGTAAATAGGAATTCGTAAAACCTCGCCATTTTGACTTTACAATTTGATGACGTCACATTGAAAACCATCTATTAATTTTTTACCTCAGTGATATTTGAAATTTTGTTTTTTGAGTATGGTAATGTATGCTAATGAATTTTAAAAAAAGAAAACCACAAATTAACTAAATAAATAAAAAAATAATGGCAACATATATATCAATGATGAATTTTGCCAAAGTTGCGACACTTGTGGAAAGTCTACAATCTTTTGTTAATAAAAATTTAAGACCACTGTAAACAACCATCTACAGTCAATCTTGCTTTGACAATAATTTGCAATACCATACTTTTTAAACTTTGGTTATGTCACCTTCTTTCAGAAATTTAAAAGCTTAATGGTATCATAATAATGAGCCTCTAGTACAATAAAGGAAAATAATCAGATCAGCAAACACTTTAAAGAGCTGGGAAATTCTCTCTTCAAATCAATTAACAAGCTGTTTCACGTGACACTAAAGTATTTTCCACCCTCGTTTGTGCGCGTACCACGTGGTCGCGCGGTACCTCAGCATGGTCACGCGGGTTTACTCGCGATTAACTTTTACGTGGACGCCGTCTCACTCGCGTTCCGGAGAAGAGACCCGGTTTCAAATATCTTAAAGGAACGCAAATAGTCCTTTAAACCTTTTAAACACAATACAGCTCTTGAACCTCCAACTTCAGCAGGCAACAAAGCGTAAAGCATGGCCATGGATCCAAACGACTCCCTGAATCCAGACCGCTTCTCCGCCATATTGGAAAACCAACGCGCCATCATGGTGAATCAAGCGACCATTCTTCATAACCAAAACAAGATCATGCGAGGCATGGAGCAGCTATTCTCATTCTTCCCTACACTACAAGGCTCTTTTCTAAGCCAAGGCACGACACCTACCTCAGTTAGCGTTACTCCGGTCGTTTCCATTCTTAACAGCAGTGAAAACTCGCGAGGCGAGCAGCCACCCTCCACCGCCACACAACTTCCAGCTGATCCACCTTCTTGCGTTTCGCCTTCCCCGCGCGTGGAAACCACTACTCCCATCAATACTCCGACAAGGCCTCAAGCTCCTTTGAATACCAACACGCCATCGATGGTCACTAATTCGGTGAAAACTCTTGGTTCGAGCGAAGATTCTGACAATGAGAACGAAGGGCCGACTCCACCGCTCGTTACAAGGAAAGTCCTTCCCGAGTACATCACCCCGGAGGAACTAGCTCAAATTAAATGCAAGAGCTGCTCCATCGGAAATTTTGCAGTGCAGCTGCTGCGACATATTTTTGACCAAAGTGAACTGGAAAATAAGAATTGCACCGGTACAAGAGGGAAAGAAGCAGTTGACCCAGATCGACTTCGCTTCGTGAAGGACACGGTGTACGATGTCTACGCGATCTCTTCCGACGAAAAAATTAATACCTGGAAGCACTGCATCAGAGCAATTGATGAATTTCTGAGGCGACCAAAACGAATGTCTAAGGGAACTCCGAAAAAGGCAGCGCTGTTTTAGAGTGAATGAACAGTGGCCCTGGATTTAACATTCTTTGGGTTTGTACTCGTCTTAGATCCTATTGTAGGCCAATCCACAAATTGAAGGGAGGGGTGCGAGGGGAACGTTGTTGGCACCGCATCTCAAATGCTGGATTCCTTCATTAATTTTTGTGTGCGTTTATATCCTCTTTATATAACAGTTAACAAATTAAGTGTGCCCGGAATTTTGAAAAGTGTTTTCATGATGTTTGGAATAGTTATTGGTTTAATCCCCCACAATAAATTTTCGTATTTTAAAAAGTTGTCCTAAAATAAGATAAGTTAATTAACGGTACTATTATTGCAGGCCACCTATAATTTTTACTTGAAGAATGATTGGACCTACAGTATTTATCCTTCATCAGTGTCAGATCTAGGCGAAGGGTTGTACCCCAAGGTGAGAAAATTTTTGAGTCCCCCCTTCCCCCATAACTGTAACTGGGCATGAAGTGGACTGCGGTCTTTATTCATGTTTTTTATTATTTCTAATGTCATGATTTTTGCATGTATGTGTGAAATGTACAGTAGTTTTCACATTATTACTGATTTTGCAGAAGTGCAGGGTACCCTATGGTTTACCTGGAATTCAACCATTTGTTTTGAAAATTTGAAAGGCTTGTTTATCTTCGTCTCATGATGGTCACTTTGTTATTGATCATGATGTTGAGACTGCATACTGCTGGTCTGTTCTTCAGGAGATGGTACCAGTTATTTATGGGGGGAAGTTAATAGCTTTACTATTGTTGACACCAGTGCCTTACAAAGGCCAGTAACCCACAGTTGAAATGATGCAATTAATAACACCGCGACTGTCATGTGAAAAGCAATCAATGATCCTGTCATTGACATAACATGATGAATAATATTGTTTCTTGTATTGGAATTTTTTGACATAAATTAAAGAAATTAGAATAAATTATTGCAGTTGATACATTCTATAATCTGATTGGCTATCAGCAGCCCTGATTTCAGCATTGTTAAGGCACCACGTTGAGTGTATGACGCCAATTATTATTAGTATTTTGAAAATGTGTGCCATCAAGCACATGCCCTTCAATGTTTTTTTTAATGTTTTGCAAAAACTCATGGAAGATCTTAATAATTTTATTGATTAATATTTTTATTAGTAACTGAACTTGATCCAATTCAGTTTGTTATCATACTCATGATTAAATAAACACCAAGTAACTTCATCCCAGTAAGTGTTTTCAATTTTCCTTTGAGCCTCAAGAAAAGACTTTGCTAAGAGGCTAAACATCAGCAAATAATTATTAGTAAGATACTTTCTTTTCTGATATTGCCTTGGTAAGGATTTTCTGTTTGGTTATGGCCCCAACATGTATTTTGCTTCAGCTAGAAAAATCAAGAAAAGTCAACTCTTCAAGCAGTTGTTTTACATGTAACTGTCTTCTTATTTATATTTCAAGTAACAGTTCTGTGCCAAGAATATTGTAATTTTGAATACATTTTCTATTATTGTTATGATTTGATTAATGATAAAGTAAAAAATGTGAGTAGTGTAAAATGTTGTACTTCGCTTCACCCTTTGAATAATCTGGCCCCTGTAACAGTGAGAGTTCATCACATCATATGTCAACAGAGAAAAGAAAAATCTAATGGAGATTGTCTTTCAACACACTATCTTATCTAGGCAATTTTACAAAACTAGTTTTGTTGTATGACCTCTTCAGTTGTATGCCACACAGTATTTGAAATAACAGGCATGTCACATATCAATGCAGGAAGAATAACAAAAGATAACAAAAACATAAACAATCCTCCCTAATCACGTTATAGGGTTACAACGAAAATCTGGCAGAATTGTTCATAATATCAGGATCAGATCAACATTGTCCTAGCATGCTGTATAGGTGTCATGAGGGGGTGATGGAGATCAGTCCTCCCCTCCCAGGGTTCTTAATAACAGCTGGCTATCTCTCATGAACTTGCCGCCTACTTTTCTTTGGAAATGACCCCCAAAAAAGCCAAAATTTAATGATGTCTGTGTTCCGTTCAAACACTCTAAGTTTGCTCCAGAGTGTCAGAAATACATTCTTAGGGGCCCAGATTTCAAAACTTTTGTCAGGGGGCATGCCCCCAGACCCCCTAGAAACTTGCACTTTCGACACTTGCAAGTTGCACCTGTGGTGCAAGTTTTTTTTTTTCATTCTTTGCCTACTCCAAAGCTTTTGCCACCTACTTAAAACCTTATTGACGACCAAGATTTCAAAACTTTTGCCAGAGGGCATGCCCCCAGACCCCCCTAGTAACTTGCACTTTGCTTGCAAGTTGCGCGAATGGTGCAAGTTTATTTTCTTTCTCTGCCTACTCCAAAGGTTTTGCCACCTACTTAAGACCTTATTGACAACCCAGATTTCAAAACTTTTGCCAGAGGGCATGCCCCCAGATCCCCCTTGTAACTTGCACTTTAGGCGCTTGCAAGTTGCGCGAATGGTGCAAGTTTTTTTTCCTTCTCTGCCGACTCCAAAGCTTTTGCCACCTACTTAAAACCTTATTGACAACCCTGCCCGTCCTTTTTAATACATCATTTCTTTGCCTTATGCCTGTCCTACTTACTGCAGTTTGTACATTCCCCACCTTCTTCTGCTTTCAAAATCAAAGATGAATACTTAAAAGGTTTTCAAGAAGCTTAAGCAGCTAGAAGCATTATCTGTCTTTCGAACAACTGGGCCCAGGTGTGTTACACTTGCAAGCTTAGAAACAAAGGAAGGGCACAAACGTTCTTGATTTCTCTCAGATAATGACAAATTGGACTACTTTTGGGCTTAAGGCTTGTTCTAACTAGTTTCTTTACGCTTTTGTTTGATAACCAAACAAGCATATGATAAAAACAACAATAAAGGAGAGGTGGTTAAGGAAACAGTACACCATCCTCCTGTTTAAAATTCTCTCCTAGATAGTCACTCAAAATTCAATGAAATAAGTTCAAATTTCAGGACCCCTTCAATACCTAACCCTACAATGCTCAAAATTTAATTTACTGCATGTAAGGTGTTATGTACCTTTCGAGCTTATAATTTGCTCCTTCCTCTTTAAACACTGTCGAAAACTCTGAACTGAGTGAGGTCAAAACCCTATTAGAGGAGGATAACAAATCTGATGTACAGTATTTGTTTCTAAAAACACTTAGTTGGATCAACGCCAACATAAGACTTATGCAACAAAATAAAGCAAATGCCGGTATACAAGGGTGCTGTCATCTGGGTTAAACTTCCTTGCCTGGTCACTCAAGATGAACTGGATGCACTTTTCAGGGACCCCAAATTAACAATAAAATAATTTTGTCAGGGTCAACCCCAGACAGCTAAAATGGAGAGGGAGCGATCATCCCCTTCCAAACCTAAACCCAATGCATGAACACTTTTCCAGCTGTATCTACTGCCACCTACTTGACTTGGAAAAAAATGTCCCAGTTAACAATAATACCAATCTTTTCTCGTTTCAATAGGGTAACTTGCTTACAGGTATTTATATTTTTATTTATATTGATGCACTTGATGACACCTTCACCACTAACCTGTCAGTTTGTAAATTTTGTTCCAACTTCTAACACCGAACTGTCAAAAATTGCTAACAATATCATCATGAAATCCTGTATTTTGGATCCCCTTCCCCCCACCCTACTGAAGCAGCACTTCTATTTACTTTTACCAATTATTATCCTGAAGATTGTCAACTTGTCACTGGAATCCGGTCATTTTCCATCTTCTTTGAACACTGCAGTTCTATCTCCACTACTTAAGAAAGCCAACTGAGATAATGAAGTTCTTGCAAACTACAGACCTATTTCAAACCTCAAGGTAATCTCAAAAGTTATTGAAAAGGTCGTTGCAGTATGTCTGTAAAAATATTTAGAAGCTAACAACTTAAATGAGCCACTACAATCTGCCAACAAACCTTTCCACAGTTGTGAGACTGCCCTTGTGTGCATTCATAATGACATTTTGATTGCTATTGATAAACTTCACTGTGTCATGCATGCCTCTACTGTTAGACCTGTCTGCTGCCTTCGACACTGTGCATCACGATATCCTCCTTACAAGATTGCACTCTAAATACTCTATCTCTTGCACGGCTCTTGAATGGTTTCACTCCTACCTTACTAACGCTCGCAATTTGCATTAATCAAAGGATGTAGATCATAGTCTCACGAGCTCAAGTGTGGTGTACCTCAAGGTTCTGTCCTTGGACCAGTTCTGTATTTACTCTACAAAGCACCACCTGCCGATATTCTACGATTCCGTGAAATGCAATTTCACTTTTACACCGATGACACTCAATTATATATGTCTTTCTCTACAAACAAAGATATGGAATTAACCAACAGTATCACTAAGATTGAGGACTACTTCAATATTACAATAAGGCACTGGACCTGTACGATGTTGAGGACATCAGAACCTGGAGAACAATCTGTCCCAGGTGCAACATAGCGAGGACTCTCCTGTGCCTGCTGACTTGCTGCTTCTAGCAATTTGAACTTCTGTTTTGTTTCCTTTTGATTTTCTTGTTTATATATCAGTAGCTCTAGTTTTTTTTTTTAATTAACAAGGGATCCACTGTAATTATTGGTTATGCTGTAGTGGTCTCCCTGCCTCATAATTTTTATGTATTCATGAATAAAGATTGTATTCTAGTTACGCGAAGCTAAATAAATATATGAATAAATGCCTTTCCAACATTGATAAGTGGATGTCCATCAACAGACTAAAACTAAACAAAGACAAGACCGAGCTCTACCACTGCTTTGCTTTGTAACTGACGTAATCAAGCCCTCTTCAAATGCAAGAAATATTGGCGTTATCTTCGATATCACTATGTCAATGCTTCCCCATATCAACAATGTTTGTAAATCTGCCTTTTACCATCGTTGCACCATTTCCCGCATAAGGAAATACTTATTAACGCAAACTACTGATATTCTTATTCACACCTTTGTAACTTCCAAACTCGATCACTGAAATTCTCTACGTATAATGTCCCTAAAAACGTCATCAAAAAGCTTCAATCGATTCAGAATGCAGCTGGCAGACTCCCATCCTCTTCGATCTTCATTGGCTACTTGTTTCTGAACAAATTAATTTCAAGATTCTACTGCTTACCTTCAAGGCTCTGCATCAGCAATCTCCAACCTACATTCAAGACCTTATCACCAGGTACTTACTGTCTAGATCGCTTCAGTCATCTTTTATGCTCAGTCTGAATCCTGTTAGCTTTAACCTTAAGACCTATGGATCTAGAGCATTCGTTGTCTCAGCCCCCAAACTTTAGAACAAACTACCTGATGACATACGCTCATGCAAGAATCTAAGTCTTTTTAAGCATAAACTTAAAACCTACCCATTTAAGAACTATTATTTTAGTCATTAGGGAGATTTATTTTATTTTATATGTGTTTTATTTAAATTTAAATTTGTTTAAATCAATTTTTTTTCAATTCTAATTTTTTCACTTTGTTAAGCGCCTAGATCATTACTGGATAGGCACTATAAAAATGTTATTATTATTATTATTACCTTTTTTCTTGTTTATTACTGAAACCAGCTCTCCACTCAAAAGTCAAATAATCGTCCCCATTGCAGGGGGAGGGGACACACAACCCTTATGCGTAATGCATCCCCAACTTTGTCTTTTTTGTCCACTTTCCACTAACAATTTGATTGGCTCTGCCACAGGCAGCCCAACAAAAACTTTATTCAAAAAGGAAAAGCAACTAATACAGCTGAAGGTAAAAAAATAATATTATCAAAATTATCAAACATTGCAGTGTCCCTCAATACTGACCCATATGTATAGCCACGATCTTTCCCTGGTTGTAAATGGGCATCTTGAACACTTCCAACTTCACTGAAAAGCTGCACAAGCTCTTTCTGTCAAAAACCAACAACAAAACAAACAACAAGAAAAGAACATGACTCTTAAAAAAGGGAAGAAATGTTTTTTCTTACTAATATTCTTACCAAAGGTTGCACAATTTTTTTACCACAGAATTCTTGAGATTCTAGGTTTAGAAAAAAAGGATTTTTACAGCAACTCTGCCATTGAATAAAATTTTTAATTGTTTTACATCAACCCTATCAATCAACAACTACATTGTGATTGACTGGTAATATTGATCTTTATTTATTACCGTCAATCATGTATGGAGAGTCATACAAAACAAAAGTAGTAATAAGAGAGAATCATTCATGTTTTGTTCACAAATCATTAATAGGTAGTAAAAGCAGAAATACCTTTGTAATGTCATAAGGTAAATGTCCTACATAAATAGAGTAAAGGCTCTTTCGCCAGTTGTGAAGTTCACGGGGTGACATGTTTCTAGTCGTCGTAGTCCAAGCAGAGTCTATACCATCATCTTCAATTAGAAAGATTATTTAAGTTAGATCAATTTCAACTGAAAAATCAGAACTGCAATTTGCCTCATAGAATGGTTGTCACACCAGAAGCTGTGGGTGCTTGGTCAGAACTGACTGGCCAGACCAGTCATCTTGAAGGCTTTTTAAGAGTTTTTTAAGAAACCCATCGCTGCTGTACATATATTATTTGTGCCATGATGACAAAAACATATGAAATGTATCAGAGAAGGTTGGTTTTCAGTGGATTATAGCTGAATTATAAGTAAACAGACTCTTCCACTTGGTTTTTTCAACTTTTGATGTGTACCAGTTAAGGAAAATCTGTCAACACCACTTGAAAGAGCGCCTTAATATTGGTAATCTTGCTAAGTTTGAAAGTGATATGTCTTACAAGAGTGAATTAAGATACAGCTCTGCAAAGTTGCGAAAATTTACAGACGTTTGTATTGTGAAGGGCAAGTTTGTATCCCCCCACCATACAAAATACTGTCTCATGTAAAATTGCGTGATGTTGGGGAGATATATCATTGTAAATTTTCAACAAATCACTTTCAAACTTGACAATGTTACTAATTTAAGGGAACTCTTTCCAGCGGAGTTGACAGATTTTCCCTAACTTGTCGATGAAAAAAGTTGAAAAAACCAGGGTTGCAAGGTCTATTTAAAAGATAACATACAAGTTCCAATTTTTTTTCTCACTGATGAGTTCTTAAATTTCTCTCTGTCTGTGCAAGAGGAGGTGAAAAACCTTTGGTAATGACACCCACTGGTTCTATTTGGGTTTCACTCTTCATTTTATTCTATTTTTTTTTTGGAGAGAGAGGAAGGGCTCATATCCACAGATATTCATTCTTTTACCAGAAAAATTTCCATTCTCACCACTGTCTGACAGTTGCCACTGATAACTTGCCCTTCCTGGTTGGTTCAGGTTATTTTCTTCTTCAGGGAAGCTAGACATCTTTGGGCTTCTCTGATCTCTCCTGCCACCTTCATCACCACTTCTTGGTGACTATAAGAAAGTATTCCTTATAAAATGTCTTTTATTAGCAAAAGATAAGGGCAAGACAACAGAGATCTTTGTAAACTAAAGTTTGTTGTTATTATAAAGTAATTTTTAAACAATATTTTTAGGACAATGTAGCTTTCCACTAGAATACACTTCAAATAAGATACTTACAGCTTCATTTGCATAACCTCCATGTTGAGAAGCAGCTTGTGTCACTGAATTTAGAATATCCGCGTTCCCCTTCAGCAAGTTTAGCAACACCTGCTGCAGCTCCTGCTTGGTTTTCTCGGTGGCCCCAGCCATGTCCTCAGTCACAGGCATCGTCGGTTTTTAATTCATTGATTAAGTTATGAAAACATAATAATCCTGAAAGATATTAAAAAACAGGTGTGGGGGTTTTTAGAATTGACTGTTATTCAACACCTTCATCACAAGCAAGATACCAAGAGAATGAAAGAGAGCTTATGCTTGAGCTAGTCCTTTACTGGAGTTGTGTGTCAAAACACCCTTAAAAATCAACTAGAAACTGACGTGCTGGTTCTTCATTATAGAATCTCATCCGTAGACTTTGTTAGCAATTGAACAGTCCTATAAAGGTTTCTTTTGAACACCAGCCCACATCTAAGCACAAATATATCCAAAGTTTCAGTGCTAGCACATTTTTCAGGACCAATTGGGGGCTCGTTTCCAAGACAAACTTTCATCAGTTTGGTCATACATTTTCCTTATAAGATAGCCCAAACAAGAAACCAGGCCCCAAGTGTTCAAAAGCTGGATACTGTTATCTGCCGGATAGTTAATCACCAAACAGTGGATGAGCATTAGGGAAACCAATTGCACTGTCCACTGGATAGAGATTTATTTATTAGACAGAATTGGATGACACAAAGTTCTGTTACCAATATTATTAATCATAACCATAACACACTTTGTGATGTTTTAGCCCTCTTGAAAATAAAAAACACAAGAAATTCCAGGTGTTTTCTTGCAAGCAGGGAAAAAAAGCCATTTAAGTGTACATGATGGCACATACTGTCCAATTACATAGGCTTGACGTGTACTGTCCTATTAGAGCTGAAATCAGGACAGTTGATAGCTAATCAGATTTGAGAATTTTTTTATAGTTATGATTAATAATATTGTAATAATAAATGTAGTAATTTCATTAATTTTATCAGATCAGCTTGAAAAACAGTTTTTGATAAACAGGAATTTCAAAAAAAATTTGCCATACAATGCTTCTTAAATAAGAAGCAAACTGTACCAATATTTTTATACGAGCATGTCTTATCTAAGACGAGAACAGCTCGCATAAATGGTCCACGTGTTATTTCTGTTCTTGACTCGTTTTCATGTAAATGTTGCCCGAAGCAACGGCAATCCAACGTGGCACACCAAAAATTAACGCATGCGTACTATGCGTTCAGGTCTTATTTAAGACGCGAAGGTCATTTATATGAAGTTTTTCTTGTCTTAGCTAAGACGCGTCTTATCTAGGGACAGGTGTTAAGGGCTGTTCTAAAAGAAGACGCGTCTTAGCTAAGCCGCGTCTTATTTTAGACGAAATCTAGAGAGATTAAGATTCACGGTTACCGCAAACGGCAAACGTCGGACTCAAGTTGAGAATTTCTCAGAATAGAAAATAAGCAGATAAAAACAGTCCCGAACGATTCCTATGGTTAAAACTGGCATAAAACAACTTGTTTTTGTGTAGAAGCAATAAAGAGTAAACGGAAAATAAGGGGAAAACTTGGTCACGTGGTACAAATTCACGTTTGCCGTTTGGCGTAAACGTGAATCTTAATCTCTCTGAAATCTGCCGTTTATACGGCAAGTTCGCGTCTTATTTAAGACGCGTCCTATGTAAGACGCGTCTTATTTTTCCGCGTATAAATGGCCCTATTGCGGTTAGAACATTGGCTACACACTCCATGCAGCTTCCACAATGAAGCTTAGTGCGTGTTTTGCCTAATAAACCCAAATAAACATTTTTCATTACCAGTACTGGGAGTTATCCATTCAAGGCACGCTTGAATTAGTAGCTAACCTTTTTAAAACAACGTGTTAGCCCGTTTGCTTTAAAAAACAGCGCGCATCGCTGATCCCAAGGAGGCGCATGGGGTGATTAACAAGTTGAATAGCTTTCAATAATTGCGACGCCATTTACTTAGCGACAAGCAAAAAATACAAAAACTATGTTAAGCATAAGGTAGCGTAAATGACATTACTATAAGTAAGTCTTAGCAGTGGACGATTAACTAATAACTGCGTTGAATGAATATAGTTTGACGACTCGGTCAGAAGCCTGCACGCGCACATGGCTGCAAAACATACAGCTGCTTTTTAATAACGTTAGTCAGCCCTAAATTACAAGACGCCGTTTTCGAGAAAATTCTTTCTTTTTTAACTTACCTAGCCTGAATAAGTGCTAAGATACATCTTTCTCCCTGAGGCCAACACTCACACAGTTGCCTTTTCGCTTCGGTGCTGAAATCTGCAGCACGAGTGTCATATGTCAAGTGATGGCGCGCGCGAGAGAGTGGCATGGACTGGACTTGGGTGAGTGGAAAAAGAATCGAAACTAGTGTCGTCACTCAATACTCTTACCCATTTGTGGGGAGTAGGCTTTTGTACATTATGCTAGCATTTTTTCGAGCATTTTAGTGAAGCAAAAGCATTGAGCATTATTCGAGCATTTTAGTGGCATTTTCCCCGGAAAATTAATTTTTCCGAGAAAATAAAATAGAAATTAACTTTTTTCAGTAGCCCATGCCCCATGAGCTCCTGCTTTTTTAAACAAAATGAAGACTTAAATTCAAAATTCACAAAAAACCTAATACAACTGGTTTTTTGGCTGTATTTATGAACTTGTACACGTTGTCGTTGTTACTTGCAACACTTGCACGTTTTTGTAAGTGTAAACTTTGAAATTAATTAAAAAAAACCGTTTGTATAATGAGCATTATCCGAGCATTTTAGTGACTTTTTTTGGGGAGACCGAGCATTTTAGTGGGAAAAATGGAGCATTAAGGTGGAGCATTTTAGTAGGGAAGCAAAAGCATAATGTACAAAAGCCTAGTGGGGAGGAGGGTTGCGTGACCACACTAAAAACGGCTGTGTAGCAGACTAATCTTCACACGCATGTCACCAATTTTCGAAATAATTTGAAAATAATGTATAGAACTTCATTTCTTGTGGTCTGTTTCTTACAATTTAAACATCATTTTCCTCGAGTCGCTTTGACGTGTCGGACCACAATCTCATTGCCCCACACTACATTTTGCACTGGTAGGACTGGACTCACTTCCTATCAAAAGGCTATCATAACAGCATAACATGCCCCGTGATTGATCTCGGAACGTTAGACTGCTTGCAGTCCACCTTTCCTCTTAAAATCCGTCTAGTTCTTAGCTAGTGCGATGCTAGCGCGATTGCAAACCACGACGTTATGTTACAGTAAGGGATTAGGGCCAGACGAGAAAAGACTTACGCTTACGCCCTCGTTTATCGCGGCTCGCGCCCGGGGGGCTCGCGTGCTTGTGTTTCTCTTGCAGTAACTTTGCAAAGAAAAATAAAAGACTGTTCGCAGTCTACGGAACGTAGAACTTGATAATTGTAAGAATTCGAAACTACAACAAACGGTTGACTAAGTACCGGATGGATAGTGGGGTTCCATTTCTAATAGAGGGACTAGAAAGGGGTCGCACGTTTTCGGATTTTTGGGGTAAGAAAGTTCTTCACATTTATTTAAGGTCAGTAAACGTACCGGAATGTATGTACTGTACGTGAAAATTAAAGTGTTCTTCATTCAATTTAAAAAATGGGTCAATTCATTTTAGGATCTATACCGTGTGGCACGAAATTTTTGCGGGAGCTTATTTTTGCGGATTGACTTTTTTTGGATTTTGCGGGAATTAAGTTTTGCGATTAGGACAGATCGTTTTTTTCTTGCTGGGAATTAATCAGTTGCGATTTTCTGAAAGTTCCCAGTACTACGGTGTGCGTACCCTACCTAAAACCAGTATTTCATTGTACAGTCAACTCCCTTTAAGACGGACACCTTTTGCGAAGTAAGTGTCCGTCTTAGAGAGATGTCCGTCTTATCGAGAGTCAAACTGAAAGGAAGTAAAGAAGGCAGGGACCAACTCTAGGTGTCCGTTTTACAGAGGTGTCCGTCTTATAGAGGTGTCCGTTAAGAGAGAGTCGACTGTATACCGCTTTGTTTCTGAACGAAAGACACAAGTTGTAATTGAACAGACACGATTTCTTAATACTGTATTTTTGTATAGTGAATTTAATGCATCACCCGGGCTACTGCGGGCTACTGCAGGGCACTTGCCCGGCGCACTCACAGGAAATGACGTAAGAGAATTTCGAAATCGATTTTTAATATACGCGCGAAACGAGCGCTCGACTGCTGGAAATTGGAAGACGTCAAAGGGCGTCAAGAATGTTTTCAGGTGAGTCTATTTTCGCCTTGCTTAATACTATGACCGTTGCAGCTGAGCTTCTATTGGTTTTCTACTGATCTACGCCGGGTTAATAAAGCAAAAACTAAAAGGGCTTGCAAAGGTCTGTCAAAGGCCTCCTCCAAATAACGGCAGAGACATGGAACACTTAATAGTTATTTCACGCTGCATTAAAAACGAAATCATACTCTAACTTTGCCTTTGAAAAAGAAAGTACGGTAGAAATATTAACATTTTTGATGAGGTTTGAGTAGTGAGACGAGACTGGACTCACCGATAAGTGATTTGTGCTTCACAGCGCACGCATGGCGCGTTCTTCTCCGCATGGTCGATCGATACAAGCAAGAGAACGCAAAAATTTTGTTTCAAATCCTACCCTGATCCGTTTGGACCACTGGAATGCTACTTGCATCTTGATATTATATTTCCGACATTTCAGATTTCTTGATACACTATTTCTGGCCATTTATTCTATCGAACACGACCGCCAAGGGAACTGGAATTATTACGGACCTCTGACATTTCCTAAGCTCCTCGCTTTATGCAACATGCATGTGTCTAATTGGGAAAAAGTATTGTCGCTGCATTTAAAACCTAAACTTTCGTGCATCTTTATTATATCAGTTAAATGATATTAAATGTTTATTCTTCAAATGTTCCATAAGCAGTTCCAATCAACACAGCTCAGTTCAAGCGCTGTAAACACCCGGGTGTAAACACCACTATTATGCTTCCATGTAAAATTGAAGAGAAAACGTTTGGATTTTTATACCTCGACTCTCACAACACAGTGTTTTGGTTGCCTGTCCGCCACATTTCAAAACATAGTCGGGGCTGTGACGTTGCGTGACACAGGTCCAACACGGGGGTAACTTAAAAAAAGGCCAAAATCATGGCGTTTCATATTGGCCAAGCATTTCAACTCAATTATCATGACTATTCAGGCAATATGTGACTGTTGCAGACGAGTTCAAGAGCTCTGTTCGAGGGCAGTGGGATATATAAATAATTTATTGGTGGAATGGTTTGTTTGATGGAATAGCCAGCGGGGCTCAGGCTAGCCTCATGTACCATATTCCTTGGAATAATAGCCGTCCCTCGATTAATCGCCTTCCTCGAATAATCGCCCCCCCGGCCCCTCTCGGCGTTTTCTCTTCCTTTCATCCCCTCCCTGTCAAGTTGAAGTGCAATGTGATCCAGCAAAACTGATCAGTGACGATTCATCAAATTAATCAAGGAACTAAATTTGGAGCACTTAAAAAGCCCATGTTCAGTTTATTTGATGTGATTACTTTTTGATTTCATGGGAAAATAAAACAAAATATTTAGGGCACGACTTCCAGTGAGCAATGTTTAAAATAATCGCCTCCCTGTAGAGGTCTGTACAGCCCCCGAAATGATCTCCAACCCAGAATTGGGGATCATTTCGGGGGCTGTACATCCTTCGAATAATCGCCCCGTTTTTGTACGAAAAAAGAAGTCATTGCCCCCGGCTATTATTCGAGGAAATACGGTAATCATGAAGTTGATTCCGCCATTTCAACAGTTCGTTTGTATTGCAGGCCTTTTTCCGGTATTCAATAACTCATGATAACTGATTACTTTTAGGGGTGGGTTGGTGTTGCTTGTGATCTGAAAGAAAAGATATTTAAGTTGTGTTACATTTTCGTTAGAAGTTGAGAACAGTCACTGTCAGTTTGAATATTTTAAGGGTTAAAACTCTTTTGCTGACAGCCGGCGAGTAGCGAAAAAGCCCCATTTTTCACCAATCCCTCTTCTTTGGACTATTTTTCGGCTAATTAGCATAAGGATGGCTTAAAGTGAGTTTTGCAACATAAAAGGTATATTTTCCGACTAATAGGACGTAATTAAACAGCTTTTTGTTTTTCACGCATGCGCACAGGCCAAAATTTGGACTTCCGTTGCGAATCTATTTTTATCTGTCTCTGTCGCTCTTCTTTTGTCCTTTGCCTTTCTTCATTATTAGCAGTTTCGTTGCCTACGTTATCGTCTTTTCTTTTGCATGGAATTGTGGCTGGCCAACTTTTTCGGGAAAGAGACAAATATAATCTTCAAAGAGTAGTAGGTAAACAGCGAATGGTGGTGGATTTTTCCCCAAAAAGTTACCTTTTTTGTGAGTCTAACTCTGCTAGGATTGGTCAGAATATCCAAAAGAAGATATCGCTGGAAAGTTATATCTTTAGTGACGTTGTTGCTTACCAATTTGTTAAATTACACTGTAAGCGTAATGGGTCCAGGAAGGAAGATATGCATCGTTCCACGTGGAAAGAAAACGACCAAGGCAGTCGTCGAAGGGTTAAAAGGTTTAGAGATTTCTTGTTCAGGATTTAACTGCAGTAAACGTAGCCTATGTCCCATTCACATAACTAGACATGTTAATTAAACTTGCAGGTTTAAAAATATGAAAAAAGTAACAGAAAACTAGAAGACAGGCTTTTACACAGAATTCAAAGGAACTTCAACACGTTACGTTAATGTACCAAATTTGCAATTGATAAAAGTACAATAAGCTTATAAGATCTTATAAGCTCCAGTCTCCCTCGCAATCGTCGCGCACGCGCGCATGTGTATAAAGGAGCGTCGGGCGACGACACCAAATTCTATAGCTAGCGCGTGTATTGACTGAGTTGCTGATAAAGCACTCAAATCAATCCCTAACTCTAAATTAAACCAACTTTAGTTTATACATAGATAGATTAATAGATGACTGAATTTTCTTGCTTTTCGCCCCTACATCTTCTATCTCTGGTTAAATTTGATTGTGCGAAGATCGTTTGGAAATTACTGCGTTGCAGCAAATGAAGTAATCTTTTCCACAGCAAATCTTATTATTCAATACGTCTGGGAGCAAATTGGCTTCAAGCGTCATTTTTTGGTTATGATTTAGTGATGAGGCTGACAAATATAAGCAGTATATATTATTTCAAGCACTTAACTTGATTTTCGCTAAACAAAGCCAAGAAAAAGGTTTCAAAGATGTGACTTCTCGCCGAAAAAACTGTTCTGTGATTGTTTTGCGTATA